TCGTCCAGCTCGCACTCTACAATGCAATAAGACAACAAATATCAGATCCCGAGGCCAACAAAAAAAAAAAAAAAAAAAAAAAAAAAAAAAAAAAAGGCGGTAAAGCAAGGGAAAAGAGGAAGAGAAAAAAAAAAAAGCCGGCAATGATACAGTGATGCGATACCAGGGAAGATGAAAGGTAAAAGTAAATTGGCTTTTCCTTTCTATTTGCAAATAAAAAAAAATGAAAGAAAGAAGTCGGCAGTGACTGGAAGAAGTTTAAAGGTTAAAAGGTATGTAAATATGGAGGAAGCTGTTTGGTGAATAAAAAAAAAGGAGCAGCAGCCGGCGGTAAAGCAAGGCAAAAATGGAAGGAAAAAGTCGACACTGATGCAGTGTGGTACCGGGGAAGATGAAAGGTAAAAGTAAATTAGCTTTTTCTTTCTATTTGCAAATAATAAAAAAAGAAGGAAGGAAAAAGAGGCAACCGACAATGCCAAAGGAAAAGGAAAGGATTAAAGTAAGTTTGACTTTCTCTAACCTTTTTAGATTTGAAAATTAAATGAATTGTGAAAAGGAGTGGCTGAGGTTTATCTAGAAAATTGTTTTAGGAGATATTTGTGAAGTTGCTTTTAAAGAGAATTTGACATGTGACATGAGTAATTATGGTGTGGGAGACAATTTATTTAATTAAAACATTTGAATTTATCTTTATAAAACTAAGTGTTGGAAGAATTGTTTACGTTATAAATTGTAAAATTTTAAATTAATGTCATGTATAAAATATTTTTTATTAATTAAAAGAGTTTGAGTCATGTTAGATTTGAATTCTGAATTTCATGACAGATCAACACTTATGTTGACAAAATAAGAGAGGTGGAGATAAAAATAATTTTTTAAAAATTATCAGCAAAATAAGTGACACGTTCGCATCCAGATTTCACTCCTGCAAGGCTATAAGAGGTTTTTTTGGGGAAACAATAACATATTAAAATCAGTAGGGTTAATCACCCGTCTGTTCCAAGTGCTTGTGAAATTTGACTGGGTTGAATCATATGGCCGGGTATAGCTCAGCCAGTCAGGAATCAGGATACGTAAGAAGATTTGACTTTGACATGCCAAACGCTGACCAACTTCTAAACCAAAATACTGCCCCACTGCATGAAGGCATGGCATTGAAGTTCTTAACATATAAGTCGTCATCTAACTTTTTCATTTAATTAATTTTAGATATTATTTACTTGAATAATGCTTATTATTAGGCCAAAGATGCGTTCAGTTTGAGATTAATTTTATTAAAAAAAAAATTGTAGATGTACTTGTTTTTTTAAAAATCCTCAAGCAGTGTTGTAGTACGAAATTTGAATGTGAGTATACCACTTGCTTTGTTGTAAAACAAGAACGGAGGATTTTTCTAATGATTCTCTTTTTTCTCACAATTGAACCCCTTTGCAGATGGTTGGAAGAATGTTGATTTAAAATCAAAATTTGCATCTTCAGATGATTTGCAAGAGAAAGGAATGTCTTTTTATAGAATGAGTTGTTAAATCTACCTTAGATAGCTTAAAGAACTTAAACACTATTGTAAATTAAAGTTAACAGGTCCTAAATGAACTAAATAATATGCAAACTAAAGTAAATTTACAAATAAAAGGTGCATCCAAGTTAAATTAAGTATGTTAATTGTCAAATTAAACTATTATCTACAAACAAATCTAGAAATCAAACTGCTGTAGAACTGAAGATTTAACCTTAAATAATCATGAACTTAACATGAACAGAAGTTAAACTAACATGCCAGAAATTAAAAAGAAGTGTGAACACCATATGAATAATTATTTAGAAGAACAGTACTTATCATAAATATCAAACTAATACCAATCAGAAAAAGAACAAGCCCTTGCTAAAATTGAAAAACTTGATGTTTATTGCACGAAGGGAAATCAAAGAAGCAATTACATGAATTAATTTGGTTACTTAAATGCTAAAAACAATCTAAATCTATTGGGATCTATGTAGAAAACTGAAATCTATAAGCTAAAGTAAGCAATTGTTATGAAACTAAAGAATTGAAAATTTGACGAATTGTGTCTAAGACTAATCATGTGTTTAATGATCACAAAATTTCCTTTTGTTTTGTCTCCTCCCTACCTACAACTCTCCACTACCAGGTGGTTATATGAATGTGGGTGATTTCTTAAAGAAGACAAACACCTTAACAGTTTACTGAGTTAGATTTCCATCCAGATTTCACCATTTATCCCTATTATTTACCAACTTACAATTTTAACTAAAACAAACTCCTAAAAATCAACTAAAACAATTCCGCCATGACTCAAGTAGGCAACTAAAAGATAAATCTCATCTCTTTTGCCTCATTCTCTCTCTCTCTCTCTTTCTTTTTTTTTTTTTTTTAAATTATGTGACATTTGACTTGTCAAGGGCCCAAAAAAGCATATCTAATGTGACTTAATTTCATCCAACCATTTAAAAAAAAAAATTGACATGTAACATAATCTTAAGTCTTGCAATTTATAATGTAAACAATACCATATCAAAAATTAAAAATTAATGTGTAAAAAGTTAATAAATTTTATAATGAATTTTTATTAGAACTTTTATTAAATTGTTAACATTTTTTTATTATGTTAGAATTTCACATTGAAAAAATTGAAAGAAGATTGTCAAAAAATTGTCAAGTAATCTCGCATTACCAATCAAGTTTAATAAATTAGTCCTCGCTAACCTTTTTATTTATTTAATTTTAGTTATTATTTACTTGAATAATGCCCATCATTAGATCCAAAAACAATTGTTTTTCGGGCCAACTGACACCCAGTTAGTTTGAGGTGCATTCTTCTCTCTCCCGAAACCCGCTCCTTGACAACTTGTTCAAAAAAAAATAAAAAATAAAAAATAAAAAAAGACTCAAAAACAATTGAGAAGAACGCTACCTGCACCAGATTTAAAAATTGGTATACTGGGAAAAAATGCATTTCGAAGGTACATGTAGATCCTCTCGCACACTCTATTGCTTGGATTCTCAAAGATTTCATTATTTTTATTGTAATATACTGTAAAAAAATAATCCACAAAGAATTAATAGAAATCCAACAGATACCATTCAACAAGTTTTTCTTCTTTTTTTCTTTTTTTTTTTTTCCCAATTTTATTTTAATATCCTCATAAAGGCAAAGAAACCATAGGAAGCCAAGTCCATCACACTGCCCTGTGGCTTTCAAGAAGAATGTTTTGGGGCCACCTTAGGAGTATTTTTCAGTCTGCCAGCATTTCACATACTGAAGCATTATATATCGTTTCTCAAGCATACACAACCTTCAGTTTCATTCATAGTATCTGTAGTGTTTTTGCTTCACCAAAGGGGCATAAAGAAAGAAAAGTTCACGACCGATTATGTGATGACGTCCTCTCGGATCCATGCCTTTGACGGAAGTTGCCCGGCCTGATGCCATTGCCAGGATCAGACACAGTGGCAACTTGATGAAAACTCCAGCCTGGTTCTCTGTCAACTGGGTTTAATGAAAATGTAGACAAGGGATCTCTCTCCCGTGCATGGGAACGAGTCGACAGAGGACTTTCCACCTCTTGGAAGTTGCGACCCGATGTACCTGATGGGACGAAGTAGATGCCACTTGCCTGCTCTGATGTAGAGGCTACTGGCCCTACTTGAGCCATACCTCTATGACTGTTGGACCTTCGGGCCCCAGAGATAATGGGTGTACGTATGGGTGGTGAACTGCTAGGCTGTTGCTGTTGATAGTATGCTTGGAGAGCTTGAACTCTGTCATGGGCCCGAGCATTGCTGCCAGGGTATGGGGGGATCATGGAGGAAGTAACTGAAGTTCCTGCTCTTGCACTAGAACTGTGGAAATAACATGGTCTCCGAAAGTCAAAAAAGGAAAGATTAATGGAAAGAGGTAACCATTAGCCTACAATGAAAGCTAAAGAAACGTTGCAAGGACACATCAGTGTGGTTAGACAAGGTAATCACCGCAGGCCATAAGTTCATGCAAAGAATTGTGAAGTTAATATATTTGAAACTGCAGGTAAACATCAATGCGACATACATCTAAACTAAGCTTCTAGTGCCTCTTTAACTATTTTGGGTTGAGGGAAGATAAGGGAAGAGGGGCATTGTAAGGGAGTCAAAGGAATACAAAAGGTAGTACCATTCAATTGATAATGCATTTGAACAAATGGAAGGGGGAACAAAAATAATTCAAGCATGCATGCCAAACAAATCGAGCAATACCTGTGACCAACTATAAATGGATGCATAAAAGCTCCTGATCTCAGTATATCAGAACTTGTCCTTGTTGACCTTTGACCCACAGCTGGCATCGCAGGCTGATCGGCATTACCTATGCGACTACTAGATGTAGAGAAAGGAGTAGAACGATGCTCCCAACTATGATAATGCAGATCCATTGCAGGAACGGCATACGATGTTGGTATCTCACTTGGTACTGATGGACCATTCCAATGACCGTTAAAATTAGAACTATCCTGAACACTGCCACTGGAATTTGAGGTTGAGGGATGGATGGGTCCAAAGTAAGCTATGTAAGGACATGGATGAGATGCAGATGATACTGCCGAATGTTCAGCGAAGATAGCAGGATGTCCTACTAAATCATGATCTGCATTGCAACATAACTCCCATCAACAAATGAGGCCAGAGCACCTAAATGCACCAAAGCCCACTCAGAAGATCTTTAGATTAGCAAAAGAAGGGAAAAAGCTTACATGCAGTTGATGAAAACTCACCCTCCCTGTAATAATAGAGAGATATTAGATGTTGAAGATAAGTATCAAGTTCAGAAGATAGCAGGAAGAACCAAACAAACTGTGATAAAATCCAGATGCTGCTTAAAGCAGTTTGTTTTTTTTGGAAAAAATGAAACTTAGTGAACAGACTATTTCCAAGTTTGGGCATCCATCCAAGGAAACACTTGCTTTCCATTCATTCATCTTTTAGATCAAGTTATTACTTGAAGAATATATAAAACTATGAAAAGTGCAAAAACACACCACTGAGTAAACATTTGTTATGAAGGAAAGCAACATGTAAACCACCAAATTTCACTATAGATAGTTAACATTGAAGAAGGAAAATTTTTTTCCATTTTTTTTTTTTCCAATCATGATGAAGGAACTGAAATATTTAGATCATAAGCCCTAATGTGGTATATCATGCTTACTCGAAAGATGAAGGCAGTCTCGTTAAGCTACCAAATGGACACCACTGAACACCAAAGGACTGCAACAACCATGTAATAACCACAGTAAATAGGAAGCAGCAAGTAGATTTCAAGAACTAACTTAAATTCAAATATAGAGCCAAAGAATGAAATGAAGAAATCCACAGTGATGCATAATCTGTAAATATTATGAACTGCATCAACAGCTCAGACTCAGAGCAATTTAAACCTCACTTAGAAGTTATTTTTGAATTTTCATCCATTGCCCTAGTGATGTTTAATCAAGGTGACATCAGAGGCTTCTTGATTACAATCAAGTTCCACAGAAGAAAACTCCATTATAAGTAACAAAGATGTTTAATTGCATAATACATCCTTGTTCAAGAAAACCTGACAATGGACACTGTACTATCTGGAAAAGCTGTGCCTAGGGCAATTCTTTCGGATTTAGTGTAAATGGATGTTTTGTTGTTCAAAAAAAAGAAAAAAGAAAAAGTGTAAATGGATGTTGCTTGAGGGATTAAAGATTCACAGGAACTTTTGTAATCTTGACTACAGGGATAGGGGAAAGGACTGTCTATATAATTTGATAGGTCATTCTGCTGTCTCCTCCAAAAACAGCACTAAAGCCAAATAATGCAGTGAGTAGAGTTCAATTCACTAAAGTATATGCAAATATGAAGTCAACAAATGCAAACAAGAAAATTGACACATAAATCTACAATTATTAGGGAGCCGCATCAGAAGATCGGTGCAATTTAAATTATAATCTGTCAAAGCCTCTCTTCGCAGAAGTTACTTTTACTCTTCCCATCTATCACCCCCTAATTAGTGATGTTTTATCAAGGCAACATCAGTGGCTTCTAGAACATTTCAAACCACCCCCAAAACAAATTCCACATTCCTGATAATATCAAGATTCTCTAATTCACTAAAGTCCTCTAGAGCATTCAGTGCTTAATTAGGCATCTGCCCCTTGCACTGGGGAAAAAAAAAAGAACTCTAATGGTCAAGCTCACTAAAGTCCTTCTGGTTAGCATTTTCATCCAAGAAAACTGGACAACTGATACTGTAATGCCTTGAAAGGCTTACCAAATGCCCTTCTTTTGAGATTTGGTATGTAATGGTTGTTGCTTGGAGGCTAAAGGTTCACATAAACTCTTCTTATCTCAACCAGCAGGAAATGGAAAAGGACTGCCTAAATAGTTTGATAGGTCATTCTGTTGTCTCCTTCATAAAGAGTGGTACAAGCTTTGCACTGGTCTATCATCAAAAAAAGATATGCATTTAGCGTGATGACTTCAACTTTAAAGGACCTAAAATAACAAAGATTTGCAAAATATAAGTATGAATGGAATTCCTCAACACATAAATATATTGAATTTGAAGGAAACAAATTCAGCTTTTCTACCCACCACCCTTCTACTAGCTTGAAGTCCAATTAAGAACTGAAGATTCTCCTTCTATAGACCCTGCACAATTTCGCAAGCAAATCTCATTTGTCTGTTTTGCTCCCATCCACTATACCCAAATGCCCAATTACAATTGCAACTTCCAGTACTAATTAACATGATATGAAATTTAGTTTGTGTGAATCTAGCAGCCACATATAAATTTCTTAGTACATTCCACTTCCCAAAGATGGCTGCTATGAAGATCTGATGATCATTTCTTCAGATAGCTTAGGCTTCTCTGTAGAAGATGGGTTCATCAACCAGTTCTTGAGAACTCAAATTAACAAATCAATGATATTGCCAATGCCACAAAATATAAGACTCATCAGAGTAACTTCCAATTTAGAATTCTTTGGGTAGGAATTTCCAGCTTAACAAGAAATACACTTAAAAGTACCAAGTCTTTGTATTGTTGCTTCTCTTAGGTATTTGCAAATTTTTCTCCATTATGTTTTAGTTTCTGATCTACAATAATAAAGTTCTATTAAACAAAAATACACACACACACACACATATTGGTATGACCCTCGTAACATCATAACATGTTTAGATTCTCGATTCCAACATTAGATTGCATATATAGAAAGCTCCAACAAGACAATAACTATCTGGCAGAAACAAAATGGAGAAAAAGACATTGACTGAAATGTTTCACAGTTCCTGCAATAGATTTAAAAGATTCATTTTTCTTCTTGTTTTTATTTTTTAAAAAATGGAGAAGGGTAAGAAGCTTTGATAGGTTGAATATAACAGGATACAATAAATTTTAAACAGACTATGAATGAGACAACAATATCATTTTGGAAATGCCACAAATTATAAACTTCAAAATTTTATAAAAATTTTGCTCCTTTACCATTTCAGAGTAATTCAGATCATAAAGGTCCTCATCATGCGCCCAATCATCAATGCTGAATTCTGGAAATGAACGGCTACCACTGGCATAAAGCCATTGGCCTTTTTCAACTTTCCTACAATTAGGGCATTGCATAGCACCCTTTACATTGAATGCTGAACCAATGCAGTCTGAACAGAAACATAACAAAAACAACCAAATTATGGGAAATGACAATAAAATATATACCAAAAGTATACAAAAACTATCTGAAAAACAAAAATTTGTATATCCTCACTCTACTGTCTACCCTTGGCTTCCCACTTTCCCATAATTACCAAAAAAGAAAGAACATATATCAACAGTTAACAAGCAACAACAGAATAAAAATATTGAGAAATTTGCGTCCAAAAGTGGCAAAAAGTAGCTCAACCTGATAAACAGGGTGTCTCCAGTAGGCACCAGAGGAAAGAGATGCGATCCGTATATCCAGAGAGAAATAAAATGATATCAACAAAAGAAGCACAAGTTGATTTGAACAGGCACACAACACTAGGGTCAATGCTTATAAGTTGAACCAAAAGGAACTCAGACAAATGGTAGAAAGATGATGCCTAAAGATCATCCAACTCTACCTATTTATGACACCTTAGGCATGGAGATGGTCTATAGTATAAGGTGTTTTTATAGGCCATGATACAGAAAGTACACACCATTTTATGATACTTATCTCAAAAATATGAATTACAAAGGAACAAACTCTGCGGTTCGGATGATAAGAGATACAAGGAATCCATCTTTTTTTTTTTTAACTCACTGCAAATTAGCAAGAGATAAATTTATGATTTAACAAGAAGAGTTATACACTTCTCTCAAGCAGATGCTAAGTTACACACTGACAACTAGATGTTTATCTTAACGCCAGCCAGTTGCATTAGCACAACCTCTCCCCAGTTTTAATTTCAGACTTGTTCTTTATAAGTGGTTCCAAAAATTGAAGTGATGTCATTACTTCAAAAAAAGTGTCAAACATATGTCTAGCTTTGCCTTTGACAACCAAAAGATATAGTTTCAGAAAGCAAATTTCTTTTTAATCAGACATCGGAACAATTTGCTGTGCATACGACAAAGAGTACTTTCAAAGTTAAGAGGGGTAAGACCAGGTCAGGCATACAAGTGATTCTAAAACCTCTTATAGACCTATTAGCAACCAAATGCTCACAAGGCCAGGCCCTAAAGCCATCAAACAGACAATAGCAATTCAGACTATCATTTCTTAACCCCTTCCTAGCCTGCACCATCAATTATCACATCTCTAGTCATCTACCCTAAAAAATATCTGCAGGCTTGAAGTCCTCTCCCGAGCTTCAGCTTAGCACCACAAATGTATAATACATGTCGATAGCAACAGATCTCAGAAAAAATAGGATAGAAATAATAACTTCTGTTATATGTTCTTATTACCCCCAGCCTCCAAAAACTAATTGCAAAGGCAATTAATTGTAACGATCATATTGGCCACTGCATAAAAGGGCATGAATGATTAAATAAACACAAATTTCAGAATGAAGATCTTTAAGTTTCCATTAGATGGAGACCAATGTAACCTTTCTTTAAAGGTTAAATCTTTCATCTTTCCCACAACTAATTCAACTCATGGAGTAAATTCCAAGAAAACTAGAAACAAAAAGAAATGAGATATGAACAAAATTGAGGATACCCAATACATAAAAATGAACAAAATCAAACCCAGATCCATTTCAAATAAAATCAAACATATCAAGAATTAGTTCGAAATCTCCACAAAATATACTTACCCAGATGAAATTGGTGACCACATTGAAGCTTGGCCCAAGATCGATCCCCATTATCGGCGACCGTCTCAAGGCAAATCGAACAAGAAACCGAACAGAAAAACTTGCCCCCATTTCCACAATCAGCACCACCGCCATCCCCATCGTCACCTACCAAATCATCACCATCGTTAATCCCCAACCCCATAATTAAGCAATTAAATTAACACCCCAGCACCAGAGAGGTTCAACTCAACACCCTAATTTCCCATAAACGACGGTGTTCCAATCTCCTTTCTTCTTGTTCTCTCTCTCTCACAATCAATTATCAAAACGAAGTTCGATCAGAACCGGCGGAAATCGGAGAACCGACACGTCGCGGAAAAATCTAGGAATACCCTTTTGAGCAGAAAGCAACGGAGAATTAAAGGGGAAGAAAATTGGGTTGGGATGAAGAAGAAAAAGCAGAAACAAAGATGAAAAATCTGTCTAACCTTTTGTTTGTTTGGGGGTTTCTCTTTCTTCCGAAGAGAATTGGGGACCGTTTGATTTCGAGCAGTTGATTACTGTTATGAGACTGGATAACCGCTGTCCAAATGTGAGCCATAAACGGTTCCGATTGATTTTGGTTAACAACTTAACATTGGTTCTTGCTTAATTATTACAATTGGTTAAACCTTCACAAGTTAGTAAACTAATTTTTAATTTTCAATTTAAAACATCTAAATTTAGTTTTTTATTTTTTAAAGATTTTATTTAATGTATTTATTTTTATTAAAAAGATAATGACTTAAATAGTAATTAATTAAAAATAAATATAAAATTTTATTAATTAATTATTACATATATAAAAAGTGTTGTATAGTTCAAACTGTTTCAAATTATATGATCATAATCACTAAATAGAAGTGAGTTTTAATATTAAGGGTTTCACTCCGTATTTAATGGTTTTTAATTTAGAGTTTAATATGGTATGAATTACAAAACATTACACTCTTATTATATCCTTATTTTATTAGAAAAATTAAATTTACAAAAATTAAAGGAAGTATTGCTTTTTTAATAAATGTTGCTACTTCGCGTAGTACATATCAATCCTAATTTTATAAAATTTTAATTCAAAAGCATCATTTTACAATAAATATATTATTATTATTATTTCTTACATGTAATAATTTATATTAACAAATAACAAGTGATAGTCCATACAAAACGGCTAACACCACATAAGAGGTGTTATTGGTGTTTCCATCTTTATTTATTTGTTAGAGGAAATTGATAAAAATAAATTTGGAATATGTATTCCTAATCACTTCTACTGCCGCATTAATTGGCCCTACTGATATGTTTTGACCATGAAAATACCTATTCCATCAACCAAACTCACCTAAAGTTAGGGCTGTTGAGGGGCAGGTGGTAATGAGTTAACAGCAAAATTGACAAGTGAGTTAACTAGGATGACCCCTACGGGAGATGAGGAGGGTCTTTTTAGTTTGCACCCGTTTTATGTGTAAAAGGTTACGTGCCATGAGCTGCCTCCCTTTTCCTAGTGAAGATGAGCTACACAAAGTTCTCTAGCAAAGTTTGAAAATACAACTTCTTCAGCCAAACCAAAAGAGCAAAGTAGCAATGACAGAGTTTCAAGATCATGATTACACTACCAAAGAAAATGAACAAGTGATGTTTATCATAATAGGAGCAACATGGATAGAAAATATGAAGATTGAGTTTTACAACTTGAGAAACATATTTATATGAAATACATTATAAAATAATAATAAATGCAATAAATATGCCCTCTGCTATCCCTAACAAAGACTCCAATTCTAAAATAAGCAACCTTTATATTGAAGCTCAAAATACAATAATCTTCTTCAAACTTGCACAAAACAACAAAAAATAAACTAGAAAGCAATGATGGGAGAAGAAAGGATGACCGTTGTGGGGGATTTTTTATGGAGGACTTGATCTCGTATGTCAATGCTAACTTTGTTGTTGGTTGATCCTTTGATGCTCAAGAAATATAACCTAGAACCTCAAGCAGTGATATAAGATCTTCTGGCCGTAATGAACTGTAAGTCAGGAAAATAGTTTGTATGGATGGAAACATAAGAAAAATGTGGGAAATGGAGGTTTTTGAGGAATTTTTGTGTGTGAGTTGAGAGGTTGAAGATGAAGGTTTTTCTTTAGAGCAAAAATATAGAGCAAAAATATATCTAATGTGTGTAATGTGAAAATCTCCTTCTCTATATGTAAGTTGAAAATGAAGGAAAAATCATATATATATATATATGTGTAGTGGCATTTTGATAATTTTGGGTTTGTAGGGCCAGAGTAGCCTAGCAATCTAACGATTAGATTTGGATTGTGTGAGGACAAGTGTTAAGTTTTGGAAGGATTTGGGCACTTTTGACAGCTTTTGATTTGTAATTATGAATTCTCCAATATTTCCAATGAATGATTGCTAGTCCACTAGAGTCTTTCTGTTCTTAGCAACCTTATATCCATACATAATGCCATATTTGGAGTGCAATTGAGCACTACCAACAAATCCTCCTCTATTTGAGATTTTGATAAACTTCCCAAGTAAAATATAATTTTTTTGGTCAATTTTCCATGCAATGGAACTTATGCAACCATCCACACATTTAATACCACTATAGATTGGTGATGGAGACTCAAATGGCATCTCCAATTGATTTTTAATGGGGTTGTAAGTCTTCTAGTTAGCATCAAATAATGCAGTTTTTGGAATTAAGTTTTGCCTCCATGCATTTGACGCCCATCCCTTCTTGGCAAAGATGAGTAACATTGCCAACCCCAAGCTTGGCTGGTGCAAATACTATACTTCGTTAGGCAGGCAATGTTCATCCATCTATGCTTGTTAAGCCACTACTTCCATAGTTTACCCCAAATAATCCCCATGAGTTTGGATTCATGGTTTGGTGTTCATTTGCATCAAAGAACAAAATATAAATGGGTATTTGTTCAAATATGTAACTATGAAATGTGTAAGTGTTTGTAGTAAAGAAGAATACTCTTTTGTATATTGAAAGGGATGGTAAGAACAAACATTGTTGTGCCGTTTTTCCACTAGCCATTGGAAACACTTATATAATATTGTTGTGTATGATTGGCAATGCACCAAAATAAAGGATGAATAATATAAATGTGTGCTACAATTTCATTTTATCGAGCTAAGTAGCATTGGTCGACAATACTTGCCGACACATAAAAATATAATAAGAATATGTTGTAAAATGAGATTATCAATGACAAATAATTTTACCTCTTTGTGTAAAAAGAATAATAATGTGCATGACCACCAGCCATGTTATATATTTATTGCAAGGTTAGCCAAGAATAGCTTCCTATAACTAGAGAGACAATTATCACTAACTTTACCCATGGCTAAAGCGTGAACCATGTAGAGTAAAAGAAGAGCATTCCTGATAATATACCAAGCCATGAAAGGGATACATCTCATTAATCTAGAACTATAGCATAATGATGAATATAATAAAAATGGGTAGAGTGTTATATATGGAAAAGGGACACTAGTCACATCCATAGCCTTTGATACAAACAAGATTTAATACCATTATAGAACGATGGCCCTTCTTGAATGTATCCACTCTATTAGAGGATGGTTTTGGTTGTTTTTGCACATCGAGCACCGCACCACCATGATGGGTGACTAGCAAGGAGCCGTTGGCCACAACTTGATGGATTTTTATCACTTGAGGGTAGTTATCCTCACCAATCGTAGGGTTGCAATTGTTATTAGCCTTGCGTGAATCATACTGAATTGCGTTGACTCTTTATCCTTTCCCAAGAGCCAATAAAATAAAATATGTAGAGAGATCTAACCCTTTAGTCGTCTCTAGGAGTTGATGTAGTAAAAATGTGAAGTGATAAGTAGCTTTTTACTCGTTTCTGTAGGTTAAGTAAAATAACAAGTTTGGTCCTTTGTCTATCGTTGAGAGTTGTGTAAATGTAGTAAAATTAGCCCATTGTTTATTGCTGGGAACCAATGATAAAGATATGTAAAGTAGATGTATGGCCCTTTGTCCATCACCAAGACCTATGTAGATGTAAGAAGATATGCTCATTACCTTTAATGGAAGCCATGTAGACGTAGCAAGATAGACTTTTTATCCATGGCAAAAGCCCACAGATTGCCCTTCAACTTTTTGAGTGTGTGGAACTTTACCCCTCACCTTACAACTTTTGAGGGCTGCAAGTGACCCCACAATGTTAAAAATTGTCTTATTATCATAAACTCGAGTACTAGGAGGGTATAAAATCACATATTGTAAGGTGAGAAGTAAAGTTCTGCACACTCAAAAAATTGAAGGGCAATCTGTGGTGTTTTACCATTTATCCACTATTGGGAACCAATAAGATGTAGCAACAAATGTTGTAATCAAAATCATAACCGTCACAGATGTTCGACAACATTGTAGAGATAAATATACTAGTATCTGGCCATGTATATGAAAATAATATTGAAGTAAATCATATCTGTAATATTCTCATTAAAGTGGGTGAGTACCACTTCTAGCAATATTGACTTCATTGCAATCATTAGCAGAAAATAAAAAATAGCATATCTAGTGTAGAAATAGATTATGTAGACTCTTTTTAGTTACAAGTCCAAACCAGTCTTACTATCATGGCACTACACATATTATGAATTCCACAATAATATAAATTCATCTCTTAACAAGAGCTTAACTTGGAAAAAAATAAAAATAAAAGAAGTGATTGGTCTCATTGCCAATGCCAGGTACAGTTATGATTCTCAATGGTGGGATCTTTAATTTTAAATCCAAACACGTTTAACCCACACAAGTATTCCAAACTATGCCACGCTTTGTAGTCAATACACGGATATAATACCGGTTTGAAAGAGGCATCTACATAATGCACCTAATTCAAACATTTTAAGTGTTGTAGTATGGTAGGGTTTGCTTATAGATTAGGTTTAGCATTTAAGTTTGGGTCAATACTTAAAGAAATTAATTTATTTAAATGCACTAAGTTGATATAGTAATGCATCCTTAAGATTGCTAAGAGAAAAATTAATTTTCAAATATGCGTGATTCAAAAACATACTAATCGTAAATATATATATATAAAATTATGAAGACATTTGTACTCCAAACTATTGTACTCCATTCTTTCTTATTTATTTTTTTGTATAAAAAGAAAATCAAAATATCTTGCTATTTAAAATATTAAAATATCTAATCATAATGATTAAATTTGTGAAATACCATGTAAAACCTAGCATAATTAAATTTATTATGTGATTATTATTAAACGTTTTAACATTTTAAATATCAAAACACCTTAATTTTTTCTTTTTCCTTATCTTTTTAAATAGTTAATTCTTAATATTTATATTTAATTCTAATTGTCTTAACTTTAATTTTTTGATTCTTTAAATATTATTTTATATAAAAATTTAACAAAATATACTAATGATAATGATTAAGGATGCATTTGAATTGCAGTTGGGAGTTTTTTTTTTATAATTATACAGTACTTTCAGATACATGTGTGTTTATTATTATTTTTTT